GCGCACGCCCCCGGGCAGGCCCCGGAGGCAGGGTCATCCCCCGGTCGCTGCCCCTGGGGTGGCTTCGCGTCTAGTCCTTTCTCTGCTCTTTCCCTCTTTTGTTTTGTTCCTGCCTCTTTCTCTTCATGCTTCCCTTTCTCCGTTCCCATCTGCTCAGCCACGTTCAGATCTACTCGTTCACCCCAAAATTGTGAGTCGCATCATCACACTTTGGGTCACATAGGATGTGCCCCCTCCGTGAGGGGGTGGCCACGGCCCCCTACCCTACTTGGGACGAGGGCCTCATGGCCAGGGAGGGCACCCCGCGTCCAGGGCTCGCCCTTTGAGATGTCACATCCATGACTTCGGCGGCGCCAAGTTCACGGTCAGGAAGGCAGCCTCACGGTCACGCATTGTGCTTGCGAAACAGCGTCACCTGTTCGCGCTGCGTTCTCCGCAGACGCAGACGAGAACAACGCCGGACACTGCCCGGAGCTCTCCTGTGAGCTCCGACAGGGACTCAGAACAGCGGTACCATCATGAAGCCACGAAGCCACAAAGCACACGAGGCCAGGGAGCTCCACAGAAAGGCACCTCGTTGGAAAAAGGAGCTGGGCTGTCCGCAGCTCAGTTTCCAGCAAAAGCACACACGGAACACAAATTACTCACTTGGGGAGCGAGAACAAGGAGTTTTGTGTTTGAAGTGTGGGAGCCAGCATTTCTGGACAGATGCTTCATGCTTTGGCAGCAGGATGGAAAGAGGACCATCCCAGGGCCTGGAGGGTCTGGATGAGCCTCAGGCTCTGCCAGCAGCCGGGCGGACGTCCGGGGCGAGCGGATGCTGTCTCCGCTTCCCCACCTGTAAGAGGCGGGGAGTAGGGGGGCCTCCCAAGCCCCTCCCAGCCCCGATGAGGCAGGATGCCACACCACAGGGAGTTTTTGACCTCAGCATCCCTTCCTTTCCCGCCTGTGCTGGGGTTCTCGTCACCTGGGGATCCCTATGAATGAGCACAGTATCAAGATACATTTTCTCTTTCCATCCATTCGGCCGACAAGCAAAAAAAAAATCTATCACCACCACCCGCTCTGCAGGGCATTTTCACCGTCAGAAAGTTGCAGGCCGACGTCACTTCTGCCTGCTTGCTGCACATTGCAGCAAACGAGAAGCCCTTCTCCAGCGTGCGGCACTGCAGATACCGGGGACCGGTTTCCAGGGCTGCGCAGCCGCAGGAGCTCGGAGACCCACACGCGTGCGACGGCGTTTGCAGGAGCTCTTGGTTTCCTCATCCAAACCAAATTGCAATGTCATGCTCGTCCTCGGGGACCCCACGCTCTGCCTCTTCGCTTAATTCGCGGTGCATTCCTGCCCTATGCTTACGATGCTCTGATCCCGCTTTCATTTTCCACTTAATCCCTAAAATGAGTGTATCAGCCAGGCTGCGGCTGCTGTGAAATCAGTTCATCAGCCCGTCCTGCAGACAGCTCCGTCCTCGGGCCCCGCCCATCCATGGCAATTCTGTTCCAGGGGTAATAAGGTAATCTGTAAACATTTACAGGAACAGAGCCTCCTTTAAGAGAAAACACCCAGGTTGGAAAAATGAGTCTCAAAATTTGAGTCAGTCCAACGCTGCAGGGCGGGATGAACGTGAATGGCAGCAGACGTGAGTTCAAATCCCCACCCAGCACCTCACCTGCTGGCGGGACAACCTTGGAAAAGGTACTGTCATCAAACCCAGATTTCATGGGGCCATCTCCCCAGAAGCTGCTCCTCACGGTGCAGGGGCCTTGCCAACCAGGCAGTGGCCCAGGTGGTCACTTAGGAGAAACAGCCACCTCCTTTAACAGTCTTTCCACCAGGGACAACAGGGCTAAGCAAGAGGAGAGTGACTTTCCCTAAGTCAGCAAGTCAGGGGTCCCCTGGTTCATTGCAGTCACCCCGACAGAACCCAGGCCTGTGGACGGATCCCTTTAAAGGAAGGAGAGGGCCCTGTGTCCCCACCAGCAGGGGCGGGCTCCCCGGCTGTGACTCCCTGGGGACAGGGGCAGATCCCCCATCTCAGAGGCGCCTCCTCAGCCCCCTAAGGTTCGTGGGCGGAGCAGGAGCCCCCATGGAGCCCCCAGGACACACAACTCTCTGTCGTCCCACTGGTACCAGCCAGTGGGGGCCTCGGGCCATGTGTTGGCCCAGCAGGCACGCCCCCAAACCCTCCCTCCGGGGTGCCCACGCCAGCTCTGCGCCTCGCGGCTGGTCCAGGCCATCGGCAGGGGGTGCTCCCAGGTCCCAGACAAGTGGGGACCAGTGGGGTGCAGAGGCCGAGTGGAGCCCTGGAGCCCACGCCCTGAGGGGGAGGAAGGCCGGGCGGCGCCAGGGCAGGTCCGGGCAGAGCCGCGCCTGATGCTCCCTGGAACCCTCCCTGGAGCCTGAAGGGAGCACAAGCACCAAGACAGCCCCCAGAGGAGGGCCCGGCCGAGAGAGGTGGCCCCGCAGGGGCCTTGAGTCAGCTCCCTTAGACACCAGGGCGTCTGGAGGTGGCGGGTGCAAACCAGGCACACGCCTTCTGGAAAGGAGCTATTCAAGACCCCCTGGGCCGTGGACACGGCACGGGAGGACCCCTGGCGAGTAACGGCGCCGGCCTCCAGGAGGAAGCCTGGGCAAGGCCAAGGGGGGTGGGCAGGGCCGCGTCCTGAGGGGGGCACGCAGCCACCGCCCGCTGAGCCCGGTGCCATCCCCCGCGTCGCCGATGACACGTGTGTGTGGCTGCGCCGTCCACCCGCCAGCCACACCACAGGGGTGGTCGGCAAGGTCCCTACCCCCACGCGGTCCCCCGAGGGCTCCCCATGTGCTGCGGGAACCCTGAGAGAACCAGGGCGACAGAGGTGGCTCAGGCCGGAAAAGCGTGAACCCTGCTGCCTCGCTTCCCCTCCCCCACCGCACATTCAGAAGGCCCCGGGCTCCCCGCTGGACGTCTGTCACCGCGAGCCCACAGTCACCAGGGGGCCTAGGCAAGCGCCCCCCCTCCCGGGAGGCCCGTCAGAATAGCCCAGCTGAGCGGCCGCAGGCGGGGAAGTTCTGCCCGGGTGCCCACGGCCGGCCCCGCAGGTCGCTGGCAGGTTCTGAAAACGTCGGCTTCGCCCACTCTGCCGTGGTCTCAGCGAGCTTCCAAGCAGAAGGCTTCCCGGGCGCCGTTCCGCGCCGCCCACCCCCCCACCCCGCCCGGGACGTCTTGGGGCCTCCTGTGCTCATCCTTCCCACCTGTACCCCAGGCTTCTGACCCTCTCTTCAGCCAGTTCCAGGCTAACCTTAAATATCTGTCTAGATTTTAACTTTGATCATCGCATTTTTATGTCTAGTTCTGCGTGGTTATTTACGCAGCTAGAAGTGGAAGTCTTGGTGGATTTCATTTTATTTGCCCATCTCTATTTCTAGTCACTTTGCCATCAACATGTACTTTTTTAAAAACCCATCAAATGATTTTATCGCCTTTGTGACGTCCTGTTGGTGTCTCATTCTGAGCCCGTGTGCCCGGCCATCACCTCGTCCCCCGGCCCCTCCCGGACACAGACCAGGAGGGGGGACGCGGGGGAGGGACTCTGAGACAGGAAGGCGAGGCCGGGCGGCCCTGCCCCGCCCCGTGCCCGCCGCCCTGCCACGCCCGTTCCAGAGGGAGGCGCCGAGAGGGTGGCGCTTGGCCTGGGATCGAGGGGTAGGCTGCGTCCGTGGCCGCGGTCCCTGGCACCCAGTGTCCCCCTCCAGCCCGGGGAGCCAGCACACTGCTGGGGGACCCTGCAGCTTGAGTGCTTCTCACATTCACCCGCACTGGCCCCTCCTCCCACTTCGCCGGCGCCTAGCGCCCGGCAGCTGCCTCGTGCGCCGCGTAGCCTGCCCCAGCGGGTGACAGGCTGCCTGACCGCTGCCTTCTGGGGCAAGTGGACACGGGGCACAAGAGGACTTTCCTGAGTCCTGGGGCGCTTTCCCTTTACAGGAGGTCTGATCCGTCAACAAATGTTAATTATATTACATTTAACAACTGTATCAGGGTAAAGATGAGTATGTTAACATTTTTTTACCTAAAAGTTTATTGCGTTCTTCTGATTTTAAAAGAAATTAAAGTTTTCATGGGTTCCTGAGAAGCGCGGGCCATAGGAACTGGCCCTGCCCCACTCACGGGGAAGCCAGCCCCAAGGAAGGCCCGGGCGACCCTGGGCGCCTCCCCGCCCCGAGAAGTTTTCTAAGAGGTTCCGGGGGACGCGCACCCATCGTGTCCCCTGTCTCACACCGAGCCTGCCGCCTGGCTTTCTTTGCTAAGGAGGCGGGTGGAGTTTCCCTGGTGCTGTCATTTCGCATTTACAAGAAGCCACGCCCGACTCTTGGGCAGCCAGGAGCTCAGGAGGCATTTCTGTGCCAAAGTAGGAAAAGGCTCCCTACGTTTGGGAAGGGGGGGGGGCCTTTAAAGCGCTGCATCACCGCACTGTCCGACCCGCCACCCCCGGGGCTGGGGAAGGCCAGACGGGGCGCATGCCTGTCAGCCTCCTGGGGGACCACAGTCGCGGCTCGTGTGGCGAGGTGCTGGGCAGGTAACGGCGGCCGTGACTCCAGCCTCGGGCATTTTAGGTGCAGTTCCATAAGTCACACGTCATTAGGTCTGTGACCTGGCATTCCAGTCCCAGTGGGATTCAAGCAAAGCAGCAGGAGGTCAAAGTCCTGACCTCAGGGCTCTGCCACAGCAAAGGGTGGACAGGACACACACACAGGAGTGCGCACACCGGGAACGTGCCCCCGTGCCCTGTGTGTGTGCACAGCCTGGGGGCAAGGGCACCTCGCGGGAGCCAGACTCTCCGCCACACGCTCCTGTGCACGTTAGACTGTGACTGCACCGCGGACGACACCTGCCCTGTGTGCCACCCCGTGCAGGTCACCGTGGGAAGAGTTGCTGGCAGCAACCCCGCCCAGCTTACCCAGGGCCCCTGGCGGCGGTGAGCCCGCTCCACACACACTAAAGCCTGCGCTCCTCTCTCCGCAGGGATGACGTGCCAAGCTCGCAGCTCCTACATCACCAGTGAGATCCTGTGGGGCTACCGGTTCACCCCAGTCCTGACGCTGGAGGACGGGTTCTACGAAGTCGACTACAACAGCTTCCACGAGACCTATGAGACCAGCACGCCCTCCCTCAGTGCCAAAGAGCTGGCCGAGCTGGCCAGCAGGGCAGAGCTGCCCCTCAGTTGGTCTGTGTCCAGCAAACTCAACCAGCACGCAGAACTGGAGACTGAAGAGGAAGAAAAGAACCTCGAGGAGCAAACGGAAAGGAATGGTGATGTGGCAAATCTAGAGAACGAGTCCAAAGTGTAGCCCCCCGGCCGGGCCATTCTTCTCCTGCCCTCCCCCACCCCTACAGCCTTTCTTGTCTCTCATCCTCTTGCTTTTCTGTCTCTCTTACTTCATTCTTTATTTACATTTAATTTTGGCATTATCAGAAAACAAATCTTCAAGGTGTAAAATATCTACCTGCCCTCTCTCAGTTACTCAGATGGATGAGGCAGACACGGACTCGGGGAAGGCGCGAGGTGCCTGTCTCCGTCCTCAGCGCCACACACCCACCTCCTGGAGACTGAAGCTCCTCGCCTGCGTGTGTGGGGCAATAGCAGATCGCTCAGCAGAATGGGTCGGAGACGTGACCTGGGACAGGTGTTAGGTGCCCGATGCCTACCCATCCGTGCAGTGAGACACAGGGCATAGGTCCCAACACATCCTGCCCCCAGGGCGAGGCGCTGCCCCAGGGGGCAGTGCGGGGACAGGACCCAGGGGAGGCCGAGACAGGACACTGTACATGTATTTGCCTTATGTAATTATTTTCTTTTGCAGTTAGTAATAAAACCCAGCATGTACAAAAGTACTGTAGAACACAACTTCTAAATACTGTACATAGATATATAATTAATGTAGGTTTAGATATATAACTTTAGGAATAAGATGAAAAAAGAAAAAAAAAAGAAAAAAGATTCTCAATGCGCAGTAGGCATTTCTGTTCCAGTGTCTTTGTTTTCTGAATTTCTTTGGTCCCGTTGACTCCTGGCTCTTTAGTGCATGGCCTTTGTTCTGTGTCCCAGACTGGCCGCCCATTTGGGTACCTCACTGTTCTCTCTCTGATCCTTTCATTGAATCTAATAAGCCATAGGTCTGGGGGAAGTTGGGAGGTCCAGTAGATGGCAAAACCCACCACCAATACACTGATATACTGTGAAATGTTTACAAACTGAGGTCTCTTTTTTTTTTTTTAACATAATAAGGGCCTCGCTGACTAAGCCTGGGGAAGAATTCCAGGAAGACATTCTCTGGCATGTCACCAATGACGTGTTTATGCTTTTCACATAAGCGCTCACCCTTTGTAGTGCAAGAGTTTTGGAAACTCTTCTACAAAACCATTCACTCTCTAGCTGCTCTACTCTGTAATCACGAGGAACTGCAGACTATTACAATGAGACATGGCACGTGAGCAGAAGATGGTTGGGTCTAAAGCCAGGAAGTTCATGATGGCTTGTAGTACCACTGACCTCATACACTTCGACTTTATCTGGCGCTCTTCCTGACCCTGAGGGCTTATCCATCAACTTCTTGCATTATTATTTATTCTTATTCTTATATTCTTATGAAATGACCAGAGTTCAACAGTCAAAGATTAGTGACTGTCTAAGAAATCTCTTAAGAGCATGCCACAGGTTAGAAATCACATCCAAAGTAAGTGTCTCTTAATCAAAAGAAAACAAAAAACTGCAGCCTTAATTCATTTTAATCTGCAAATATAAACATAGAAAAAGAGAGAGAACAAGAAAGGAGGGAGGGAAGCAGGGAGGTATTTTGTACTTAAAATCTAAATTTCAGTATTAAAAAATTTTCAAAAAAAAAAAAGGAAGAGAATCTTAGACAAAAGGGCAGGTGGAGATTTTGCACTGTAACAGATCTTTCACACTAATTTTACAATTTTAAACTGTTTGTTCCCTAACGCAGTCGCGCATCGTAAATATCCATTGACTGAATTCAAGTTCATTTTCAGCCCCTCCTGCTGTGCTCAGTTTGAGGCTTTGCACCACAGAGGTCGAAGAACTCAAACTAGCCATCCCCCCCTGCTGACCTTGCTTTCCCTGGCCAGATCGCCCAGGCCTCCGCTGTAGTGTGGGGACCGCGTCTACTGAAAAGCGTGTCACAGAGATAAGGAAAGTGACTCCTCAGTGTAACATGGGGTCTCTCCTCTCCCACTTCCGAGACTTCGCATCGGGGCAACTGCTGCTTGGCATGGACTTTACGGAAAACAAAACTGTTGGCCGTAGCCCTTTCCTGTTTGCCAGCCTTTCTCTGTTTGCATTGAATATCTGTTGAATCACGTATTCGTTCCGCACTCCAAGGAGGAGGTTTCAGTCAAAGAGGAGGAGGGAGCCCCATACACTTCCTGCCAGGCTGTGGGGAGGTACCGTGGCCTTACCTCCACGTAGCCTTACAAAAGGCGCTCTTGGCCCGAGGGCGCGGACCCTGCAGCATCGCCAGACTTGCAGGGCCTGGCATGGTAGCACAAAGCAAAATCGAGCAGGGGGTGCAAAAAGTCTGCTAACTTAGTTCTTGACGACTCACTGGGCCTTTTTAGATCTGTTGCTAAGGCTCAACGAACGACACTCATGCTGCTGTCTGGCGGGAGCAGCAGCTCGGGCCCCTTAGCACAACTGAACAAGGAGCCTTGACAGCCCTTGGGTGGCGCACACGCCAGTTCTGTGTCTGTGACAGGGTACCCGGGGCGAGGCCTCCCCATTCCCACTGTCTTTGGTGTCAATGTGGTTGGAGACAGAACATGAACCGAATCTCGTTTTTTGTAATGTGAGCCTCTGAGTCTTTAAACGAGGATGTTCCATAAGAACCTTTTACTAGAATGTCCCGATCAAACGTCTATTTTTCTACAATTACTGGTAACACCGTTTAACGGTGTATTTTGTGTCAACTGTTAAAATTTGGAACTGAAAGCAGCTCCTTAAGACTGAATTTTCTAAGCAGCAAATATTGAAGGTGTTTTCCCTTAAGACAGTTCAACCAAGACGAACCCCACAAATTCCAGCTGCCATAGTCCACACCCAGCCCCCATTCACTCAGTCACTTTGTTAAGCAAACCAAGTGCTATGAAAATAAATAAGCCTATTTTAATGCAACAGTGCCCACAACGACTGAGGATCACTCTCCCCTTGATATTCTGGTCTGTTTGGTTGGTGTATTGGAGTCTCTTTTCCACAAAACCATGGTGGGATCCATTCACAAGAGAAGCACTTTGATCTAAAGCGTTACAGTTTACTTCAGGTGACCCCAATCTGAAGGAAAGGGCAGATTCATTTCAAAGCATGACCCCCAGGGCGGCTGAGACCCTCAGATCCCCACTTCCCCCCACCCCAACATGCTCTCCAGCTGGAACTGCACCTGTTCACTTACAGTCCACTTCATGTAATTAATACAATTGCTTGTGTTTTTCACTGTCCCCTGGGAGAGCAGCACATCTGCAGCAACGGGAGGTCATTGCTTTGCTATCCCTTGGAAAGGAGGCGTTCCAGCCCGGCGGGTGCAGCGCACAGCCGCGCTCTGTGCGTGGGAAGGCGCTCCGCGGCCCGCGCCCTTCCTCCGTCGGTCCCTCTCACGCTCTTCCCCTCGGCCCCCAGCTCTAGGCCGACTCATTCAACTCAGTAACTCGTGTTCCCTAACAGCTGCCTCTACGAATGTCAACCTATTTCTTAAGCACAACTTTCTCTTCCAGGTTTAACAAAACTAGGGCTCTAAAATGTCTATGTTTCATTACATTCTAATTAAAAAAAAATTATCTGTGACTTCACAGAAAGCTGAAATTTTGAAGTCTCCAAAGCAGTGTCCTTGTGCTTGCCCTCCTTACGTGTTCTTACATTTCAGGATCCTTACTTCTTCCCCTTCGCCTTTGTACTTACGTTTAAACAGGAATCTTAGGCGTGTGCAGACACTGTTTACAACGGTGAGAGCTGTTGGAGAAAAGGACTATAAAAATGCTATTAGAAAACTACTTGACTCACCGATAGAATGTGAAATCATTTGATTAGCCGAGTGATTTGAGATTTTTTTTAGGACTTTTAAATATTCATAGTTCTTTCCAAGACAGCTTGACATCAGTCTGACTACTTTTTCGTCTTTCTTCCCTTGACTTGGGTAATATTCTATGTGATTCAGAGCAGCCACAAAGGTAGTTGGAAAATTAAATGTCCTGTGTATACGATAAATACTATCTTCAAGTTCCTTTCAGGGGTGGCTATAAAGTCTAAAAACATAAGCAGCATACGCATCATAGGTGATTCATGGATAATAATATTATCGTGTTTCTAGATTTTAGGGCCAACCTATATCTAAGGAAATGTTATCCTTTAACTTAAAATGGAAATGGAGTAAAGTACACCTCTTCCTAATGCTTCTGCCCCCTCGCGGCTTGGAGAGCTTCAGATGCAGCGTGTCACCTATAAGTCAAAACCCCCTCAGGCTGCTGTGAGATGTTGACGAAGCACAGTAGGTACAAGAACAACAAAACAATATCACGCCCCACTGTGTGTGGCGCCTGGAGCACTCGGAGCACTGGTACGAATTATTTCATTTAATTCTAATCCGCCAGGACAGCTTGAGTATTAGAGCTTACATTTTATAAATGGAAATCTAGGGTTTGGGCAGGTGGGGTAACTTGCCCACGGTTCCCTGGCCTGGCCCCAAACCCAGATGCCGAGGCGTACGCTTTGGGCTTCTTTTACTACAGAAAGGGTCGGCAAACCGAGTCCGCCCGCAGAATCGGGCCCGCTGCCTGTGGTCGGACCCCTTGCCAGGCTAGGAACGATTTTACGTTTTTAAATTTTGCAGGGGGAAAGACAACAAAAGAAGGATATTTTGTGACCTGTGAAAATTAAATGAAATTCAAATTTCAGTGTCTGCCAATAAAGTTTTATTGGAGCGTGGGCACACCTGTTTGTTGTCATTGTCACACACCGCTCGGGAGGATGGTTATGAAAAGGAAGCGCTGAGACCGCACAACCAGGAGGCTAAAATACCTACCATCTGGCCCTCACGGGAAAGTTTGCTGACCCTTGTACTGTACTGTTAAACACTAGTAGTGCTATTAAGTGCTATTAATTGTTAAGCATCATGTTTTAGTATTAAGAGATTCCCAGGCAACCTAGAACAATGACGTTCTTTTCCAGAATAAATCTATCACAGCCACTCAAAGATCTGTTCAAAAGGAAAAATAACACATTTTCCGGTAAGAGGGGCAACCGCTTCGCAGGATCTGGGGAGCTCCGTCATACAGTTGGGTCTCAAAGACAGACGTTCCCCTTCTCCTAACCGTCGCCCCAGAGCGATGAACAGAGAGGAGACAGACGCCAGGCTTCAGCGGCCAGCTCAGAGAGTGATGTGGCCCAAGGACCCGTTACTGAACGGCAAAGGAGCCGGCGTTCCCAGGCCAGGGGCGGAGCGAGAGCTGCGCTGGCACCCACACTGGCTCTCGCCCTTGCAGTCGGGCCGTTGCACACCGCCGGGCCCCCAGGCCGCACAGGCCTCCTCTCTCCTGCTCTCTGGCAGGAGGGCCGAACAGACTCCTGCGCCGTCTCTGCGTCTCCCCACTCGTCTCCTCTCGCCTCAACACGCTGAGGGGAGCCTCAAGCTACTGTTCGGGGTTCATCGTACTAGCTCTGGGTCCCTCCCTAGCTCAGCTAAAAGTCCAACGTGCAAATGAAGGATGAAATGCTTCTCTTGGAAAACCAGCTGGTTCTTTGAAAAGAACTGAGGGAGAAACAAGAGCAGGAAGGGGTTATTATTGGGTGGCCTGCTGCTTTCTGAGGCTGAAGCAGAAAGGATGGGTTAATTACAGAAACATCGGATGGAAGGAGTCCAGACAGCGGGGCCTGAGAGAAGTCAAGGTGGAACGGCGTTCTTTAGTGACAGAGCAGAACTCACGCGTGTTCTAGGACAGGCGTTTCCAAAGCCAGAGGGTCAACCGCGCTCGGCCTTTCGCCGCTTTAGTTCTATGGAGAAATACCTCACATTTTCTTAGACGAGAGCTTTCCTAGAAATTGCGTAAGAGAGGAAAAAATTGTAACAAATCATTGTGATGTTGTGTTGCCAACAGAGAAGGCTGGAAATGGAGAGGGGTTTGGCCTTGTGTCTAAAACTGTGTAGGTAAGGACACCTGCAATGTGGGTCACACAACCCTGCAATGGCAGGGGACAGCGTCGCAGCTAAGTGGGCGGGGGAAAATCTCAAAGTTCAACACCCTGAAACTTAAATAAATGTAAAAGGAGTCAAACTTTTACTTGGCCTCATTGCCTTGGTAAAAGAAAGCTTCCTGCATGCACCTAACTCACAAAGAAGCGTCCTGGGGAAGGGGCGGCAGAATCCCGTAAGACACACAAGATTAGTTCACCTTGGTCCTCAGCACAACTAGGTGATGAGATTTATTGCCAGTGAAAATGGGACTGATGAACTTATTTTGAGACTCTACTTGTCGCACCCCATAGGATCCTAACGTACCTTGAGGTTGGCCAGAGAGCGGTGACCACGCAGGCAGCGAGT